CTTAATTCCCTTTAAAAAATATGAAGTCATTCAAGACAAAGGGAAAGAAAACCCACTACCTTCGACAAGAGTCTGTGGATTATCACCGTAGAGTAATGTGAGAGAGAGAGTTCAAGACTTTTATCGAGCTGGATGAATTGAAACTAGATTCTTTCCATTTTGTTGCTTAGCAACCAGAACATTTGTCCTTGCCAGCGCACGGAGTCCCCAGGCAATTTAACTCAGGGTGGACCAAGAAGGAAGCTCAATATAGCAACCATGGCGAAATAGACGAGCTTCTGCAGAAGTCGTGCAAATGTTGGAGTCTACTGCAGTGCTTGCTTTATCTGGTCTCAGTAGTGTTCCCCAGGTGTATTCTGCTGATTATATATACCAGAGGCTGGACAGAGGCTGCAGCGCAGTTGCTAGGGAAGATTCATTCCAGAGGACACTAGGGCAAAGCTTCAGACTGGTAGTTAGCACTGTCGATCAAAAGTCTAGGGGCTTGGGCTCAGGGGCCTGGGGCCAGATACTGAACGTATTCCTATCTGTATGACACTACCTGGTCAAGTTTCTTCGTCTTTCTATGATGTGGTTTCCTCATCCTTAAAGGATGCTGCTTGTCTCTAGCGTTTGTTTATAATTATTATAAGTGAATGATTTAGATGTTTCTCTGACACAAAGCAATAGGCAATAATGATTGGCTGCTATTATGATCTGAGTCAAGCCTTTTTGCCAGCGTATTTCTCTGGGGGCATTTCTCCATCTTAAAGCAACTCTCTGGGAACTCCTTTTCTTTTGATCTGCAACAGGCGGGCCTGGCTATTGATGTTCTGTTGCTAATGGGGGACACTTGTAAGTAAGATGTTCCAGCTTCCCAGACTGTGGAGCCCAAGCTCTGCTTCATCTCCATCCTTCAAACCAAATTCAGAAGCTTCTTGCAGAGGATGATGCAAAAAAGTTAATGAAAATAAAATGATTTCTTCCAAGTTTCCCCCTTCTTTGAAGGAATTCTTCTCTTTGAAGAAGAGGGAAGCTGAGTGTACAAGAGAGAGGGGCCTGCCAAGGCTGAAAGGTAATAATTAAAGTGGAACAAACGCAAAGGTAAGGAATTTCTCTACAGGAAAAGTAACAAGAGAAAGGCAGATTTTGCGGTCAGCCTGTTGGCAGCGGAAGGTGACCTTAGAGAACTGTAAGAGTGACTGACATTGGAAGCTGTGGTGCAGGGGCTCTGGAAACACAAGGAAGGGCTGACCTCGAGGAGCCCTACACTCTTGGGGTTCTCCTGAGCTGGACAGACCTGGCTTCCAGGCAACAACGTTACACTTGTAGACTTGATGATACGAGAGGTTGGTGGTGGAGGTTTTGAATTGGTTGTGGGATTTGGGTTCATTGGCCACAGACTTGGGTTCCAATTCTGGCAGCATTTACAAATAAATTCTAATTACTTACAAAATATTTTTAAATTTTTAAAATTTACTTTTAATACTATAAGAACATGGAATTATGAGGTGTACACACACACACGTATGTATATATCATTGCCCTACAAGGCCTAATATTTTGAATGCATATTTATTCATATACTTAAGTGTATATATACACATACACATACATATAAATGTTTCTGTTTGGTTTTCAAGATGGGCTTTTTCTATGTAACCTTGGCTATCTTGGAAATTGCTTTGTCAACTAGGCTAGCCTCTGCTTCCTTAGTGCTAGGGTTAATGGCGTATACCACATTGCCTGACTCTTAAATGTATGTATCTCAAGGGCTGTGTATTATTACAACACACATACACACACATAAATGTGCTAAAAATGTTTTAAATAGAGTTCCCATTTATATTTTAAATTTTACCAATCAGCAATATACATGCTTATAATTATACATGCATATATTTAAGCTTGTTTTTACATGTGTACATATTTACACATGACACTTTAGAGTTACTTGTGGGTAAATTTCAAAAGCTACAGATGTACTTTGAATACTGTTATATTGACATTTTCCTCTATACTATCGCCATGATCAAATCATTTTACTTTATTTTTTTGTCCTTCAGATATGACATATAAAATCTGCTTCTATTTGTATTTCCATGACCTCTAGCACATACCTCTTAGCTGACTGCATTTGCCTGCCTATATCTTTTGCATGTTTCTCCCTGAGTTGCCTTTTTCATATTAAGAGCTGTAGAATTCTGAGTATTGGATAGCCCAGTAGCCAAGCACACTAAGTGCTTCTGCAGAGGGCCCACGTTTGGTTCCCAGCACCCATTTCAGTCACTTTGCGACTGTACATAACTCCAGTTCCTGAAGATCTGTCTCCATGGCCATCTGAATGTCCATGGTACACAGCAGCTCACACACGCACACATGCATACTTATAAACTAAAAAGAATCTTTAAAGCTTTTGTTGAATTTTGACTGCTAGAAACGTATACGCATTGTGCACCTATCAGAAGAAATATATAGAGTTTAGGTGACAGCTTTAACTTCTTCTACTTTAGGGTACCATTTGTCTTGCAGAAATTTACTCTTTTTACAGAGTGGAATCTGTCACTTTTCATCTCCCTTTAAAAATGTTTTCCCACACTTTTGTGGCTTTTGCTTTTTATTTTAAATTTACCTTCATGTAGAATTTCTTTCTTATGTAATAAGGGAAAGAGAATTTTCAAAATAATCTCCCAACATGAACAATAAAGTCTTTGTTGCTAGGGCCTTTGCGGGGCATTTGTTCATCAATCATCTGCCCCAGGCACTAGTTTGTTCCCCTTGTTTGTTTGCTGAATAACATGGAAAAAGTATGGTGTATCCATTTTTTTTTAAATTTGGAATATTTGTTTCCTAGTTGATGAAAACTCGCTTCATTTGTCCAACAAATTTCAACCCTGATTGCTCCACCAAAGAGCAAGATGATCGACTTTGCAGTTAACTCGGGTTCGGTTCCTCACAGGCAGTGGCTGTACAGGAAAGTATCGCTAGCTAACTGAGCTAAAGGCACGGAAAACACCAGCAGATTACCATAAGGTATTGCATTTAGCACTCTAGGAACTCTGCGGATATCAGCGCGCTGAGTGCAATTTCAGGCCCAGGTGGGAACTGCGGATTCTTGTGGAGCTGTTGGCACAGTGAAATTTGTAGGTAACATGCATGCATGCTTTGGCTCTCTAAAGCGGACCTCACTGGTTTTACCCTCTGCAAGCTGACCCGGCTAACTCAACACGGCTTTTTCCTGTCCCTGCTGCTGGGACACAGTTGTCTCTGTACAATGAATTCAAGGCCGTCCGGCAGCATCCATGTAGTTACATGGCATCAGGGCTTTGGAAGTCACGTGGGGTGTCTTCTCTACATTCATTACATCCCTATAAAATTATGCTTCTGTTCCCCAGGTATTGTAGTAGTGTCTAGTCAGTCTTTTAACTACCACATACACCACAACTGTATCCCCAATTTATTTTTTAAGGCTAGATTTTTCTATAATGCCAACAAAATGAAGTGAAAGCCAGAAGTAAATTTTATTCATGTCTATTGATACAAATTTGCTCATGTGTAAGATATAAATTTACTTATGCCTATAGATGTAAAAGCTTGTAATAAAATAGTGGGAAGGGGGCAAAAGCTTACTAGGGTAATAACACAATATGGACAAATATATGAACTTTCATATCAGAAATGCAAATAAACATGCAAAAAATTATGAATTCTACCTCAGTGCTGAATTATATTGGAGAAGCTGCATAACAATAGACTGATTAGACTCTCTGGTGAGACTATTTACAAGCACGTCAAAGGGTCTAAGGAAGACATCGCCTCAAAAACAATATAAAAGCCAGTAGTTTATAAAACAGAAAAGATAATAATGGCTTCCCCCTAAAACAAAAATAAGTCAGACAGCAAAACAGCACATTCAGTAGTAGCATTGTTATCCAACATTATTTTAGGATATTGATAATACAATGAGACAAAAATTAAGGACATAATAAGCTTATTTGAAAAGAAGAAAAATCTAATAATCTGCAAATGATATAACTACAAACCTGAAAATAAAATTTCCATAGAGTCATTCATATTAAAATTAATAGCTTAAAAGATGTTAAATATATTAGCAATTAACAGTAAGAAAAGTAAATGTGCTTTAAGATTCTACTTTCCTTTATTAAAAACAAATCCAAAAGGTATCAGGAACTAAATCTAGCAATCAAATTTGGGATCTTATAAAGAACCTGAAGTTTTTACTCAGTGACCAGTAAGAGGACCTAGTTAAATGTCCCAGCTTGATAATTAACCATCACAGAAGTTTCATCTGAATTTTAATCAGGACATGCCACATTTTAGAGTACAGAGGACATTTAGACCCTTCCTCTACCAATTAATCTGACCTGGCCTGCACTTTAACCCTCTGCTGTGTGTAAAGGAGGTGCTGGGTTCATCCGGTAAAGTTCTGCTTCTTAGCTGCTGTGTGCTGGCCCAACCCCAAAGCAGCCTGATGTCTGGTTAGAAGATGAAGAAGTTGTTTCATCAACTGAATTCAAGTATATGTTGTCAACAGATTTTTAAATCAGTCCCTCAAGCTGTCCAGAGAGATTTATCATCAGCACTTTTCATCGCTCCCAGCAGAAATAACTATATTTCTAAAAGCAGATACTCTACAATCTAAGATTCTCATGGAATGCAGCCTTCTTCGTTTTCAATTGCAGCATGAATAAGCAAAGCAAAGCTAGATCTTTCTACTAAAAAGAGTCAAATACTTCTCAGTGTGAAAGTTGAAAGAAAAGAACAAACAAAAGACCTAAAACAGAGCAATTGCTATATAATCAAAACTGGCTACAGAGAGATGGAAGGCCACCCAGAGGTGACAAAGGCTGAAATGGACACTGAGACAATCTGTGACATTCTCTATTGCAGATGAGCACGCGGGAGAATGGGAGCAGAAAAGTGTGTTGAGGTTGCCTGACTTGTGGGTATGGGTAGGAGCAAACACTTCAGAGAGAAATAAATGAGAGCACCACGCTTACCTCTTTCACCAGCAAGCTTTCTGCTTTGTTCTCTGCCTCTTCCGGTACCGTAGAATACAGTGTTCGGATATCCCAAGAAACCGTGGCTGTCTGAGAGGAACCAGGAGAAGAAATTAAGCCTTCCATCTTGAATGCATGGAGTGGACCACTATCCCAAAAACACGAGGGCTGACTGTCATCGAGCTGGGTGGAGAAGCTTCCCCAAGAAACATAAAACCCTTATGTTTTAATCCCTTTAAAAGAGGAAAGAGCCAAATAGTCCCAATTGCACGCCTGCTAGCATTCCCATAGTTATTGCTTCATCTGTGTAGCTCAGAGTTTTACAATCCATTTTATTACCGAGAGGAAAAAAATGTGAACATCTGTGTTTGTAACTTGTTTCTATTAGAATTTTTTGTTACTGTTCATGTAAAAATAAATTTGAAATGAATCTTAAGAACTTACAAGATCCTATTGTAAATAGTAACATGTAAACCTATCCCCTTTTAGGGTGTGTGTGTGTGTGTTTACAAACATAGCTAATAAGAGGAAGGAAACAAAATAAACATGCACATTGAAGAAAAAAGGTCATGTTTTAAATGTTATTTTCTGTTGAAATAAGTAAAAAATTTCACATCTTTAAACAAATAGCTATTTATCCAAATAGTGTTCTATTAAACGGATACACTACATAAGATCCCTCATGAAGCCTTTGAATAGAATTTCAAAGGTTGTTGTTGTTTGATGCATCTCCAGGTTCTGGCTTATAATTTTTCTAACACGATTACACTATGGCCACCAGCTTCCTTCAGTCTGTCCATTTTCCTGGTGATTTGGTGAAAATGACTGGCAGTAGCATGGTACCAACCACGGGGGAGATTTTAGGTCACGCGTTCCCTGAATAGACTCCTCATCGTTTCTGAGATACAAACTACAGTTTGTATAAACTTATTCTGATGAAAGGCATGCTCCTGCTTTGGTGGTTGAAACAAACGAAAATCTCAAAAGCCACTGTTAGTTTAGGAGAAGAGGATACAAGAGTTTTTGTCTTCTGAGCTCATGGTGGTGTAGCCATGTGTCAGCCACAGCAGCATTGTGTCCATCATCCCTTTCATCCCGATTTCAGACTTAGCATTTTCTTCAAATTTCCCCTCCACACCTGATGCAAGTCCCATTTATTGTCACTGCCATAACCTCAATGTTCAGTAGGGTGCTTAGCCGGCTGTCTGTTGAATTTTTCCTGAGTGTATGTATGCAGTGCCTGTTCAGGGTAAGTGTGTGTGACTTTAGGCAAGCACATCAGTGTCTCTGCTGTGCATGGGTGTGGCAAGTGACTCAGTGAGCTTGTGATTTGTGTAGTGCATGAGTGCATCTATACAGGAAGTGTGGGTGTGTGGTGGTGGTTATGCATAAGGGTATGCTAATATAGTGAGTGTGTATATGCTGTAAGTTTGTGTGCTGTGTACGGTTAGCTTGTGCATGCCTGTAGTGTGCCAATCTGTGTATTCCTGTGCATGTGTGAACTCGTGTGATACGTGGGTATGTCTGTGGGAGTATGCACATACATGTCTATGTGGGAAGCATGGGTTTTGATGTTGTGAAAGAGGAAGAACATCATATGATTCTAAGATCAGAGGATAAAAATGATGAAAAATGCGGTGTTCCAGATATTTCGTTCAGTAAAAGTAATGTTCAACTTCAAATACTGCTAAGGGGTGAGCTCACCAGTCTCTAGGACTTCATGTCATCTATAGAAGAGAGGATGCAAGTGTGGTGATATTTTGTTTGTGCTATAACAAATTGAGCTTGCCTAAAGATCAGAGTGTGGAGCTAGCCATACCAGTTCTTACCTCTGCTGAATCCATAAACCAGTGGGGTCATCCTGTCCCTACGAATCCTCAGATTGAATGCTCTGAGCTCCTGTCTCCTTCCACCTTATATGCTGGGATTAAAGGTGTGTGATCCCAGCTGCTGCTCTTTTTCTCTTTTAGACTGATTCAATCTCACAGTAGACCAGGGTGGCCTTGAACTTAAATATCCACTTGCCTGAGCCTCCTGAGTGCTGAGATTGAAGGTATGTGCCACCATCACTGGGCCTCTATGGCTAACTAGTGGCTCACACTACACTCTGATCCTCCAGCAAGCTTTATTTGTTACAGTCCAAGCAAAATATCACCACAGGGAAGAGCTGAGACTGCCAAGTTAAACCAAGAGCAGACAGAGAGAGCAAGTGGAGGTCTTGCAGATGAAGCAGAGGTCTCCAGACAGACCAGGAAGTGGTTGTTTCTGTGCAGAATGCAATGAAGCAAGATTAGAGTTATCTTGATTTTCTTCATTTATAATTCCTTGTCTGATTTCCTCCTTCAAGTTGCTTCTTTATTGTTAGTCTTTCTGTAAATACTAACAACTTAGTCTAGACTGAGTCTTGGGGATTATTGTTTAGACTTCAGTGGCCCAGGAATGACTTTGGAAAGACAGCTCACAGATACACGGGGTTACTTGCTTCGGTCTCAGCAATCACTACAAATCAAGACTCCCACAGTGTTACATCAGTGATCTAGCATGCTGAGCATAGACAAATATGTAAGATACTAGCCATGAGCAATGCATGAAGCTAGAAGGATTCCTGATGACCTGTGGTCACAAAATGACATTAATCCTACACTAAATAAGATCACGGTTACTAAGTCAAGCTTATGAAACCATGTGACAAACCTAGGACTTTATTTTGCATGTTCTGTGCATGCTGAATACCTCATACAACACAAACACGGCATAAGAGGACTGTGAGCATACATGTATGTGCGTGACACGGCATGCGAACCATCTCAGTATAAAACTGAAACACTTGTTTAAAAAACCAAAAGGCCTCGATGAGGTTAGAGCTTTCAAAACTTTGGTGCCTTTCCTCTTGTTTTACATTTGTTTAAAGTGCTTGCACGGAGCACAAGTAACTTGGTCAAAATAGAAGTATGAAGAATCCTATTTGTTAAGGGTATTAATACATTTAAAAAGAATTTCCTTTCTGAGAAGTCGGTGTTTTCAGACCACTACAAATTGCCTTGGCCACAACAGACTTCCTGTTCTCTTTAATAAAGCTCCGTTCCACAATTGGTAGAGTTCAGTAGCATGGAACAGATCTGAGACCGCACTGGCATTCGGCCGAGCTCATCTGGTGGCAAGAGTTTTATAAGGGGCGTATTGTCGGGCATTTGGAAAGGAAAACTTCTGAACCGATGGCCCCGAGCCTGTGTTTGCAGTCTGAGGCCCACAATATTCAGTGTCTTTGACTCCGGCTCTGCTACTTCCTAGTTCCCTCAGTGCTGTGCTGGGTAGCCTTTGTGGTTTTGTTGCAGCAGCCATTCTGCTGGTTAAAATGACTCTGGGTTGGACTTCAGTCTAAGAGCACAGGGACCATTTCCCAGTTGGCTAAATGCCACCATTAAAGTCTGGGATGGATCGCTTTTGCTGTCCTGGGGCTGAGTAGGCGGCCTGTGTCAGTTCTTACAGTCGGTCCCAGCTGCTAAAGGCAAGGAGAGAAAAGATGGTGCTTAAGTAACTCCATCAGTCCTGATTAAGATGTAGGCAGCTCCACAACGAACAAGTAACTCACACTTAATCGTGTATTGAAAAGGAAATGCCTCTTCATTTAGCAGGTTAGGGCACCAATGCTGATTTCTACTAAAGAAGACACATTACTGTGCTTGCTTTGAAAACAGTTTTGTGTGTGTGTGTGTGTGTGTTTGTGTGTTTTTTAACCACATTCAGAAATAACACCAATGCGTTTTTTTTTCTTATTTATTGTAAACTATGTGAGAATGATGCTTTAATAACTTTGCTGTGCTTTACAGGGGAACTCTTCTAGTTTTGGTGAAAACTATAGGTGGCAGAAACGGTGGGCAACCATCCATAAGTAGGTATTGACCGTGATCCAGCAAAGTCCAGCGTGACGACTTGGTCATTGCACTATTTAAGTGCGTCAGTGAGGTTCATGGTCTTGAACTCTCATACCCACAAAGCACTGAAAAAGTTACTTCACTTTTTCTGTGGTTCATCTTCTAGACCCGTGGTGGTCTACTTTCCAGATGCTGCGACCCTTCTATACAGTTCCTTGTGCTGTGCTGGCTCCCGACCCGACGAGAAAATTATTCCATTGCTGCTTCCCAACTATAGTTTTGGTCCTGTTAGGAACTGTAATGTAAATATCTGACATGCAGGATATGTAATATGTGGCATGCAAAGGGGTTGTGACCCACAGACTGAAAACCAGTATTTTAGACTCAAGTGCATCTTCCATCCCCCAAGGAGGCAAGAACGAAACATCTTTTCCTTTAATGATGACTGTTCCTTGATCTCTGGCAAATTTAGTGGAGTACACATGACAGCTTGGTATACGTATAGAACATAGTGATCTGATCTAGGGAGTGGACATTTCTGCCCTTTTGCACATGAAAATCTTTTTTGAGAAGCACATGACTGTACACGCCTCACACAGAAAGACGTGAGGAGCAAGAGAAACCAGTGCTGCATCATTGTAAAGGTGCATTCGGCACCAGCTCATCTCATTGGTCAGTTAGACTCAGGGGTGCAGGCTAAGCCTACCATGTAGGGAAGCTGAGGAAGAAGCATGTTTTATTTTGTGATTCCAGAGGAAGAGAATTGAGCTGACCTAGTAGCCTGCCCACTCTGGCTGACTCCCCATGGCCTTTCTACAGCACAACCTACGCTCCTTCTCCCACAATGGTGCTGGTCCTCCAGAGGCTCTTTATTCCACCTTTCACCTTTCAAGAAATCCTCAACTAATTCTCTGTAAACCTCGGGTTTTATATAGATACCAGTCCCTTAAAACAAAAACAAGCAAACAAACAAATAAGCCATGGCTCACTCCAACCTCCTCTCTTTCTTAAACTCTCTATTTACTGTCTGTGTCATACTATGAGCCAATACACGGAATATTTTAAATCCCAAAGCTGTGATCTTGATTCATTTGGTCATCTTAAATGAGTGTTTTATCACATTTAAGCAGGTATGGTGTTTAATGTGGACTGTCAACGTCACAGGATTTACAAGTTTCTGGGCATATCTTTGAGGGTTTTCTAGATAAAGTTAGC